TAACAAAATAAACACTTTAAAAAAAAAATAATTAGCACTTTTTTTAATTCAGCCTCATATGTCAGCCATGGCTGCTGGCGGAGGCTGCTGGCGGAGGGTGCTGCTGCTGAAGGAGGCTGGTGCTGCTGAAGGAGGGTGCTGCTGCTGAAGGAGGCTGGTGCTGCTGAAGGAGGCTGCCTCTGCTGAAGGAGGGTGCTGCTGCTGGAGGAGGGTGCTGCTGCTGAAGGAGGCTGGTGCTGCTGAAGGAGGGTGCTGCTGCTGAAGGAGGGTGCTGCTGCTGAAGGAGGCTGGTGCTGCTGAAGGAGGGTGCTGCTGCTGAAGGAGGCTGGTGCTGCTGAAGGAGGGTGCTGCTGCTGGAGGAGGGTGCTGCTGCTGAAGGAGGGTGCTGCTGCTGAAGGAGGCTGGTGCTGCTGAAGGAGGCTGGTGCTGCTGAAGGAGGGTGCTGCTGCTGAAGGAGGCTGGTGCTGCTGAAGGAGGGTGCTGCTGCTGAAGGAGGCTGGTGCTGCTGAAGGAGGGTGCTGCTGCTGAAGGAGGGTGCTGCTGCTGGAGGAGGGTGCTGCTGCTGGAGGAGGGTGCTGCTGCTGAAGGAGGGTGCTGCTGCTGGAGGAGGGTGCTGCTGCTGGAGGAGGGTGCTGCTGCTCAAGGAGGGTGCTGCTGCTGCTGGAGGGTGCTGCTGCTGGAGGAGGGTGCTGCTGCTGAAGGAGGCTGGTGCTGGCAACGGCTGCAGGTGATGACTGCTGAAAGAAGAGGAGGCTGGAGGATGCTGACGGTGGACCGGGAATGGAGATGCCAAGTACATCGATGGCAACGAGTAAGGTGTTTGGCAGTGGCCTAGATGTTATGAGCTTCGGTGCAGAGGTCTGTTGGGTCTTCTTTGCCTTCTTACTCTGACTCTTGCTGCCAAGATACCCTTTATGTTTATCCTTCCTCTCAGCCCTGATGCACTTTGATGCAATCCTTAACCTCAGCCTGATGTATGTTGAGAGGATTTTTTTCTTCAGGTCATGGCATGAGGGAAGGTTGCTGTCCAGCAACATGGCTTCTTGTTCCAGCTGTGACACTGCATTTGAGGACTCCATGAGGGAATCGCTCATCCTCACACGGAACAGCTGCTCCACGTTCTGAACAAGGGTGAAAACCTCATCAGATGGACGGTAATCTGGCTCTAATTTGGTCTGTGTTGAAGATTTTTTTAAACTTTAGATGAATCAAATTGTGTTTGTTTTTTTAATGCCGAATTAATCCTTTTCCGGTTTACCAGAGCCCTCTCTGCTCTCTTTCTTAGTAATCTCTCCCTTCTCAGTTGCCTCATTAGATCCTCCACGTGAGCCCGGTCACAACTGGCCCTTGGCAGTCTGGTCCCTGGAGCACCTGACCCTGGCAAACTGGCAACTGGCAACCAAAAACGGGCCCCGCACGGCTCTGCACGCTTAAGGCGAGCTACCTGCTGCAGTGGAAACGCGCCATTATGTCCCTTTCATTCCCTTGGAACTCCACCTCAATAGCTCCCTGAATCTCTGTAACAATAACAAGGCAATCTTGCTGTTATATGTGTATGCTGCCTTTACATGTGCACCTATTGTCATTTAAGGGTACACTACACTCCTATAGTGACATTCATCTAAGTTCGTCTATTGGCAATGTTAAAGTATGAAGACATCTGTAGATTATCTACATGTGGTATATGAGTCTTCAGAGAATCCCTGAACCCTGGTAGTTTTGAAGCTGTATAATCTGAAGGTTGCATTAGGAGTGTAGTCTATCCTTGAATGATATAACATGGGAAACATTGTTAGCTTCATATATCATACCAATGTTTGATGTGCCATAATAGGTGTGGTCATCATTCCTGACATTAACAGCTGGAGGCATACTCCTTGACTGTTGTTGTCTGTTGACATCAAAGAGTGTCGTAACCAGGCCCGGTTCTACGGGGGTGCATTGCACGCTCAGTTGAGTCGTTATGCACCCTCATTTGAAAAATGAAAAGTGAAAAAAAAAAAAAAGTTACAAAAATTACATATATAATAATAATAGTAATAATAAGAAGAAGAATTTAGTTGAAATAAAATAAATTGGAATTGTGGTTAAATAACATTGCTGCATTTATTTGGTCAATTTAAACGGTAAGTAACGTTATTATGTCAGGTGTGCGTGACCTGTGCCGCTGCGCGTTCGTCATCTGCAAGGTGCTTACACAGCAGTCAGTGATGGACATCAGAAAATTGTTAAAATAACCAGCCCTTATCGCCAGCAGAAACACTGCATCTACTGCAGGTAATAACAGTTCAGATCATGGGGACATTACGTTACCCGCGGCCACTGTCGTGGACAATAATGCCCGACTCGCCGGCTTTGTCCGCCTCGCCCACAGAGGCGGAGCAGCCGCAGCCGTCTTTGTTGCCCCAAACACCGCCACCCCTCAGCGGCCCGCAAGTGCCAGAGGACCTCGGCAAAACAGAGCCTGCCCAGGTATATTTAAAAAAGTGCCCAACTCGCCTGTAGGCTACTCATTTTGCAGCTCATGGTTTCAAAACAGAGATTGGCTGGAATATTCATGTAAAAAAGATGCCATCTTCTGCTATGCATGTAGACATTTCGGTTCAAGTACGTCAGATGCCTTCACCACAACTGGCTACAACAACTGGCGCCATGCTCTTATAGGCTACGTGATAAGGGACTTGGAAGGCATGAATCAAGCAAAGAGCACATACAGTTGATCCATAGATCTCTTCATTTTGCTCTCAAAGTGCACCAGATTGATGCTTTTAACTTCAATATTTAAAAAAAATTCTTCCTGGGGGAGCATGCCCCCGGACCCCCCTAGAGGAGGTGAGGACCCTCGTAGAGGAGATGAGGACCCCTAGGGTGTTAGGTCCACTCCCCACTTATAAAAATAGCACTTTACCACAGCACCCTCTCTTCTCAGATGCACCCTGAGTCATTTTGTTCTGGAACCGGGCCTGGTCGTAACTCTTATCTCTCTAGGGCTCTGGTTTATTGACATATCATATTCACAAACGGTGTAGTTCTGCATTGAATGAAAAACTTGGGTCGCAGGTTCCTCAATAGTGCATTACAAGACATCTATCAATATTTGTGCATACCTCCAGCAATGTTAACTATGTTGAAGCACTTATTTTAACTGATATTATACATAATGTATTATACTCTTATAAGATGTATGTAGATATTTCATCTCCGGCCTTGTCAGGTATTGAACAATCAATAAATAAAGAACACAGAATTGTTAAATATAAAACACAGAATTTGTGTGATTATACTAAATGATTTACAAATAAACACCACTGCATATTTACAACTGTTACACATGCTGATGTAACGCAAATGTTCCAACTTGGGATCAATAAAGTATATCTTATCTTAAGCTGATCGATGGCTACTGCCATATTTGCAAAATGTGCCTCTGAACCTTGACAAGTGCATGTTTCAGGCTTATCAATGAATGTAATGTAATGTTATCAATTAACAACAGGGGTCACAAACATAAGACCAGCTGTTAAATAAAGCTCTTCTGACCTTAGCTGGCATGTGTGTATATATATTAATGCTGCCCCTTATGGGCACAAGCAATTTTCACCCATTTATTAATTATGTTTTAAATGTGAGTGTTTCCTATCCCCTAAACCTCCAGGGATGTACACAGTTTAATACTGGCAACTTCTTATTATGGGAAATACGAAAACGTCTTTTAAAACTACAACTCCCAGTAGAGACGTGCCATAGATAGAGAACATGTTGCGAAACACAATAGCCAGCATGTGTAGTTCTGGGGACAGGGTGGGGGACAGGGTGGGGGAGGGGGGGACGCGGTGGACCCGTTCAAATCCAGTTTTGGACAGTCTGCCGTGGTTCCATCCCATTTTAAGTGCTGTTCGAGGCTCGGCGTAACCCTCGGAGCTCACTCTCCAATCACAGAGCTTGAGGACTATCACGGGGTTTGTCAAACAGAGCACATGGTGTAGTCCAAACGATAGCTGGGGATTCTGGGTAGTGTAGTGTCTTCTGCCATCCTTTACTCCGAAAAAATATTTGTTTCTCCGAATCGAAGGGAAAAAATACAAAAGCATTGCACACAATTTAAACCAATCAATGTTGTGTAATTAACAAGGATAATCTGGTGTTTTTTAGTAAGTAATTTAATAAAAATCACAGTTGTATTACACACAATGCACTGTTTTTTGAGAACATAAATTGATAAATAATGCACCATAATACATTCTGACGAAAAATACAAATTATTATGAATACAAATAAAATAAAAGAAGCCTCCCGTGAGTTACTACAAGCTATAAAGTAGATTTAAAAAACGTTTTAGCTCACTGCAGGACGTTGTAGAAATGCGTGTGTGCACCACGGCAAAGGAGCCTCATTCACTTTACATTGGGGTTGTTTGCGTGGTGCCGACACGTACATGTAACAAAGTTCGTGACTCCACCACGCAATGTGGAGTTAAGGAGTCGTGGTGCAGTCACGCATTTTTTAAATGGCTAATATTGGCCTATAATACCCCTTTATTGATCAAATAGGAATATCATTGTCTTTTAAAAAACGTAAACTAAAGGGAACAATCTATTTGACACAGCTGAAGCTCTGGCCTTCCTTAAAAACTAAGTCATTTAAATCACAGTTGTATTACACACAATGCACTGTTTTTTGAGAACAGAAATTGGTAAATAATGCACCATAATACATTCTGACGATTTTTTTTTTTTATTATGAATACAAATAAAATAAAAGAAGCCTCCCGTGAGTTACTACAAGCTATGAAGTAGATTTTGAAAACGTTTTATAGAATACAAAGCTCACTGCAGGACGTTGTAGAAATGCGTGTGTGCACCACGACAAAGGAGCCTCATTCACTTTACATTGGGGTTGTTTGCGTGGTGCCGACACTACATGTAGCAAAGTTAGTGACTCCACCACGCAATGTGGTGTTAAGGAGCTTACGAAATGCTATTAGCACCTGTTCGTGGGCTTGGTATATGATAGAGGTTACATTTGTATTGTGAAATGTGCCATATGATTTTTTCATTATTGATGTATTTTTTAATAAATCACGATTATAACAGCATACAAATGTTGTCAGTTAGTAACAATCGTTCGTCGCTCTGGAAACAACAACTTCGGTCATTTCCGGCGGTGACGTCATGAGTAGAACACAGCTGAGCAGAACACAGCTGAGTCACCATTGTTTAAATGCCTTGAAGCGGCAAATATTAAAACAAAGGATGCACAACAACAAAACGCGAAGAATAATCGGCAAGCGATGTGTGGTATGGGGATGTGGGGCCGTCTCCAAATCTGGCTATGGGATGTTTTTGTGGCCAAAAAATTGTCAAATGTCGCGTATATGGACCAAACAAGTGCGTCGTACGAGGGCGGACTTTGCTGGACCAGGTAACCCGGGGTCGATGAAACCTACAATTTGTGGGCAGCACTTTGAAAGATCGTGTTTCGACCAGTCCACAATGCTCGCTAAGGAAATTGGATTAAAAAATAATTTCAAACTGAACAAAGATGCTGTTCCAACAATACTGCCAAGACTCCAAATGCCAGCACAAGCCACCACGCCGATTCCTACATGTCCCCCGATGCAGAGTCCTCCACTAAAGAGACGGCGAAATGCATTCTCCAAAAGGGAGAGAGCGAAGGTAATCCGCGCTACTTGTTGTTCAATGTTTACAAGCATAAAGCCTGACTCAAAATGACATGTAAAATCTCACACATTTATGAGTTGATGAAGTCATGATGCCATATATTATTGCATGCACTTTTCCCATGAACAGCATTTATAGTAAAATTATAGCTCATACAACCGCTTCAAATTCTGAAAAATGTCAATATTATTACATAGGTATTGGAAACTTTGTTAAATGAAGCCACTGACAGAACTGAGGATAGCAACAATCTATTGGACATCCACACTGGGGAGGAAACTGTGTCTACACCAGTAAGTATACAGAACGGACTGTACAAATACAATTTGTATCTTCATCACATGTATGTACATAATTCATATATGTAATTGTTTGATTTTATAGCATTGCTCTCTCAATCAATTCAACCACATGTTGTATTATGAATGTTATTAGATATTATATTATGTATAAACGTGTGTTACCTTATTTACTAACGGTATCTCGGCACCGAAACCGTAGTTTCGGGTTTCTGACTTGGCTCGTTGTCAGCCGGTGACCAGCTGCCTAGACATTTCGACTGCGGTCAACTCAGCCGTCTCTCGCATTTGCTTGGTCAAATGAGCAGCGCTTCATTTTTGAGTGCGCGATTAATAGCGTCTTTACGGTAATCGCCGAGAAGTGGCGCTGACGGTAGTACAAGTGCTTATGCTATATTTGATCAATCAATCAATGATATTTGATGAGGGTTAAAATGATTTTTAGCCATAAGTTCTTAATAAAATTGGTACTGTTGGACTCAGTACATGTTAGACTACTACCACAAATACAATCAAGTACTTTTACTGTGTACTATTTGAGTAATACTCTGTCAAACTCCCCTCCAGAGTACAATAATGCATGTTTTCTGCCCTCTTTGATGAGAGATACAATCATTTTTTGCAATGAGTTCTTAATAAAATCGGTTATGCTGAATTCTGTACTACTTGGACTACTACCACGAGTACAATCAAGCACTTTTACTGTGTACTTTTTGAGTAATACTTGTTTAAACTCCTGTCCTGAGTACACAAAATAATGTATTCTGCTATCTTTGATGAGAGATAAAATGATTTTTTGCAATAATTTATTAATGTAATTGGTACTGTTGGATTCAGTGCTACTTGGAGTAGTAGCACAAGTACAATCAAGTATTTTTACTGTGTACTTTTTGAGTAATCCTTTGTCAAACTCCACCCCTGAGTACAATAATGCATGTTTTCTGCCATCTTTGATGAGAGATAAAAGGATTTTGTGCTATAAGTTCTTAATGAAATTGGTACTGTTGGATTCAGTACTACTTGGACTACTACTAAAAGTACAATCAAGTACTTTTACTGTGTACTTTTTGAGTAATCCCCTGTCAAACTCCCCTCCAGAGTACAATAATGCATGTTTTCTGCCATCTTTGATTTGAGATAAAAATGATTTTGTGCAATAAGTTCTTAATGTAATTGGTACTGTTGGATTCAGTACTATTTGGACTAATAGCACAAGTACAATCAAGTACTTTTACTGTGTACTTTTTGAGTAATCCTTTGTCAAACTCCACCCCTGAGTACAATAATGCATGTTTTCTGCCATCTTTGATGAGAGATAAAAGGATTCTGTGCAATAAGTTCTTAATGTAATTGGTACTGTTGGATTCAGTACTACTTGGACTACTACTAAAAGTACAATCAAGTACTTTTACTGTGTACTTTTTGAGTAATACTCGTTTAAACTCCTGTCCTGAGTACAATAATGCATGTTTTCTGCCATCTTTGATGAGAGATAAAATGATTTTTTGCAATAAGTTCTTAATGTAATTGCTACTGTTGGATTCAGTACTACTTGGACTACTACTAAAAGTACAATCAAGTACTTTTACTGTGTACCTTTTGAGTAATCCCCTGTCAAACTCCCCTCCAGAGTACAATAATGCATGTTTTCTGCCATCTTTGATTTGAGATAAAATGATTTTGTGCAATAAGTTCTTAATGAAATTGGTACTGTTGGATTCAGTACTACTTGGACTAGTAGCACAAGTACAATCAAGTATTTTTACCGTGTACTTTTTGAGTAATCCTTTGTCAAACTCCACCCCTGAGTACAATAATGCATGTTTTCTGCCATCTTTGATGAGAGATAAAAGGATTCTGTGCAATAAGTTCTTAATGTAATTGGTATTGTTGGATTCAATACTACTTGGACTACTACCAAAAGTACAATCAAGTACTTTTACTGTGTACTTTTTGAGTAATACTCGTTTAAACTCCTGTCCTGAGTACAATAATGCATGTTTTCTGCCATCTTTGATGAGAGATAAAATGATTTTGTGCAATAAGTTCTTAATGTAATTGGTACTGTTGGATTCAGTACTACTTGGACTACTACCAAAAGTACAATCAAGTACTTTTACTGTGTACCTTTTGAGTAATCCTTTGTCAAACTCCGCCCCTGAGTACAATAATGCATGTTTTCTGCCATCTTTGATGAGAGATAAAATGATTGAACTCCCTTCCAGAGTACAATAATGTATTCTTTTTTTACCACGTCAAATTCCTCGTACGTGTAAACCTACCTGGTAATAAACATTTTTCTGATATATAATAAGCGTTAGAAAAATGTTCTTCACAATACTGACTATGTTGGACAGAGTATTTTAACAGGATATGGTAAACACATGATATGAAGACTAGATCCACTAGATCAGTACTCCAGCAACAGCGTTGTTACACTTTGGAAAGTCTTTAGAGACTGGCCTGGATAGCTGTTCACAACTTTCCTTCAGCACAGTGACACACCCTTGTCACTCTTGTTGGCCTCTTATGACGCTGCATGTCTTTTAATATATGTATAATATATTATTTCTCTGCCCCTAGTTCTTTCCTTGCAGATTCTTCAGTCTCATCAGCCTCATCAGTCCCAGTCAACGTCTTCAGCCTCCAGCACACTTTCCCTGTACAAGGCTCATTTCCCATGATCACAACACCTTATATTATCCTGTCTTTAACAAAATGTAAAGTCCTTCTACTGCACCTTTTGAAGACTCCAAAACAGGCATTTGTACTGTATGTGTTTGGAGAAATTATACAACAAATGGCCCAGATTTGTACTATAGAAAATCGAAATCTTGTAATGTAGGAAACAATTCACACTGGCTACCATGTGATATAGGCTTTGTTTTGCAATATTTATTCAACGGTCACTTCTTAGTTAAACAAATCTCAAATATACACTGAACAAAAATATAAACGCAACACTTTTGTTTTTGCTCCCATTTTTCATGAGATGAACTCAAAGATCTAAAACATGTTCTATAAACACAAAATAACCATTTCTCTCTAATATTGTTCACAAATCTGAAAGAATCTGTGATAGTGAGCACTTCTCCTTTGCCGAGATAATCCATCCCACCTCACAGGTGTGGCATATCAAGATGCTGATTAGACAGCATGATTATTGCACAGGTGTGCCTTAGGCTGGCCACAATAAAAGGCCACTCTGAAACGTGCAGTTTTGCTTTATTGGGGGGGTCTGGGGGGGGTCCGAAAACCAGTCAGTATCTGGTGTGAGGGGTAGGGTTAGGGTTAGGGGTAGGGTTAGGGTAATGTTGTGAATTGAGTGGCCCATGGTGGTGGTGAGGTTATGGTATGGGCAGGTGTATGACGACGAACACAGGCCACTCGATTCACAACATTACCCTAACCCTACCCCTACCCCTAACCCTAACCCTAACCCTAACCCTACCCCTACCCCTCACACCAGATACTGACTGGTTTTCGGACCCCCCCAGACCCCCCCAATAAAGCAAAACTGCACGTTTCAGAGTGGCCTTTTATTGTGGCCAGCCTAAGGCACACCTGTGCAATAATCATGCTGTCTAATCAGCATCTTGATATGCCACACCTGTGAGGTGGGATGGATTATCTCGGCAAAGGAGAAGTGCTCACTATCACAGATCTTTCAGATTTGTGAACAACATTTGAGAGAAATGGTTATTTTGTGTTTATAGAAAATGTTTTAGATCTTTGAGTTCATCTCATGAGAAATGGGAGCAAAAACAAAAGTGTTGCGTTTATATTTTTGTTCAGTGTATATTCTAAATATATCAAATTGAGCATATAAATGAAAACTCTTTCACAGCAACCACATCCCCTGCTTTTTGGAAAAGTCTGGAGTCCCAGTCCCCAGCTGGTGCCTTTTTTTGTTAATATAGGACATACAGCAACCGCATGTTCATGCACAAACATTATTTGTCACACAGAGAGCAAACCCAGTCCCCAACTTGTGCCTCTTCAAGAGACTTTTGGTCCATATACAGGCACTGTGTGGCACCACCGGAAACAGCTGTCACACTGAATCTGCAATAGAAGGAGTGGAGACAAATTAGAGTAAAGCCCTGCTTATACCTTATAACAGCTTTGAGCAATGGTCAACTGCATCCCTAAAGTGTTTGTATTTAGTTTCTGCTTTCATTGAATGCTTTTCTACAAATCTAAATTGTGAAATATCTGAAGTCTCAATATTCATTAAACCTTACCCAGTCAGTGTGGGTGTGATGTGGCATTGAGCCGGGTGGTTTTATGCCGGCGCACATGGCAGTTGACTTCTTTGTCAAACACTGATGAAAAAAAAATGCTAATGTTACATCTCAAGTATAACAATATCACAATTGAATTGATATTTTGAAAATGTAGCACGCACCTGATGCTGTCAGTATTTCCATGGCCAACACTTTTCTTTGATGCGCCATCTCCTTTTTTGTGGTCCCAAAGGCCATTGTTGGTGTTTTAGGAAAGACTTCCATGACCTCCTTTGCCATCTTAAAGTGATACACCATGTTATGTTCTTAAAATAACTATCCAACTACCCCAAATGTGTTTTTGTGAAAGGCAGTAAAACAGACTTAATCCTAAAAGCTGAATGAATGTTATATTAGCAAAAAGCATATATGAAAATAAATATTCCACTTACCATGCAGACAACTACCCCACAGCTATTGCCATCCTGCTGTACTGGGTGTTTCATTACTCCTCTCTTCCATTTTATGTCTACCCAGTCCGTCTTACTGCAGCAGGTCCTCCTCATTTTGAAGTAATCACTGCGTGAGATAAGATATATTATTAATGTACAATGCATACTGTATACATACAATACTCGCATAATAACATAAATCCTTGTCACACTGTGTCTCAGCAGTCGAGTAACACAATTTGAAGTGATGTTAATGCATGTTTCCCAAATGTATATTTTAAGATGTAACATGCAGACACCTACAGTAGTCTGATGTCAAAATGAATTGACAATTGTTCCCTCTAAGGACAGGTTGTTTATTCATTTATTGGGTGTTATGGTATAACCGGTATGGACCAAAGTCAAACATGCACACATATGTTCTGGTGTAGTAGTACATCAATTAAAAAAACAAAAGGGCTGGTTGTGGCAATATAGCTGATCCATCTATTCCCACATAAATATAACAATAAATATAAACATTATATATGAGGGAATAGAATGAAATAAATATTTTTGAAAAATAGGTGAAATTGGATGCAGTTAGTACCTGAATTTGTTGGCAGCATTGTCTGACTCTGCCTGCTCTGCAGAGCTGCGTGCAGGATCTGCCAAATACACTGTGCTTTCTTCAGCATTGATGTACTGTGGACACAGAAAAAGAAATATATATATTTTGAAATAAACACAACATCTCCAAAAACTTAGCTGATCAAGAAATATACAATTATATGATATAGACACTACTAACCAGACATTTCCAGTGTATACCGTCTACATGTACAAAGGACACAATGGCTCCATAGCTGTCAAAGTGTATCTGTAATACATAAGAACAAAACAACTTCCATTTCCCATCAGGCTGTATTTGTTTTCTTTATACAGTAGAGTCAAATAGCTTTAGAGTATGTTTATATTTAGACAAAGACATAATGAAAACCTTTGTAGTTATCCTCAATAGAAACACAAGTTACCTTTGACAAAGTGTGCTTCCTGACCTCTTCTCTTTTCCCAAAGAGGATCACACCAGCTGAGTAGTGGTTGAGAATATAAATCCTCGTCCCCAGTTCACATTTATGTGCATGTATGTGCATGTATGTGCATGTATGTGCATGTATATGGAAAAGACACTCGATGATCTGGAGAGAATGTCGACAAGCAGACATTAATAAGAAATAGAATTATATGAAATAATAATGTAGTTGACAGGTGTTAAGCTTCGTTGATAAAAACAGAAAATTATAACAGTGAATGACCACATTTGACTACTTCTTCTAGTGTACAATAAAAGTTAAATATTCAACTGTGGATGCCTTTTAAGATTCACTTTTAAAAACAGTTTAATACATTTTAGGCTTTGGGTGCTAACAAGACTTCAGTGGTGTGCCATGAAGCTAGCGTTACATGAATATTGGATTCATGTGTAGTGAAGAGACTTGGTATGAGCACTGGTTCTGTCCTATGGATGAAATACCTCGCCTGTCAGCCACTGGTGTGGTCTAAGGGTCCGCATGTCAGAGTGACGGATGGTCAAACTGTTGCCTCTTATTTGAGTGGGGACTACAGACACCACCACCTCAGTGTCCTTTTTTTTCCACAACGCGGTCAGCTGGGGGTCACAAAAAAAATACTATATCATTTTTATGTCCCAAAGCTAGATTGTTAACAGAGCATGAGATACACATTGTAAATTGAAAGGTATTATTTTATAACGTTCCTTTAGCATTCCTTAAACATTAAAATCTGCATTTTAACTTTTTAGTTAATCAATTATTTTACTATTTTAATCTGGTCCCTCTGATGAACTCCCTGATGATGTGTCCTTACAGTTTCTTACCTCTGATGAAGCATCCACTTTACCTCCCTGTGCGGCATCCTCAGCATGCTCCGTCATGTCTGATGTGGATGAAGATTGACCTTGTCTTGCCTTGTCTTTTGGATCCTGTATAGAAGCCGAAACATCAACATTGCCTTTCACATTGTCCAATATGTGTTGTTAAGTGCATGTCATAGTTAATCACTTCATCACACAATTTGAATCTTCAGTTCTTCTATCATTACCTACAGTATACTAATAGAAAATGCAACATTAAGCTGTAGATTCCAAGCTGGTTTCGATGTATGTGTTTCAAATGCTTCCTGGCTTTGTTTAACCATGCTAAATGGGATTACCTGTGATGGAATATGTGCTTCCGTTTCACCTGGCGCTTGTTTTTGTAGTGGAGCTGGAGCTTTTGCTGTTTTTGTCTTCTGCATGAGCTGAGAAAAACAAAGTGTTAATAACATAAATATTATAACATTTATGTTATTTTCAACAAACAGGATAACAATGGTTTGCTCTCAAAAAATACATACATTCTTCTTGTGCTGTCTGAAAACAAAAGGCTTGTTTATGGGTGTCACATAAACTCCTCGACCTGTTCTGCTTTCTTTTTTTCCATCGCTCCATGTCCGCACGATGGGTCTGCAGTTAATAAGGAATATTGACAGAGTAAATGCACTCATAAATTACCTTTCATTACATATTCTGCCATTTCACATTATTCAATGTTGTTTTCTTTTCACAACAAACATTATCTTTGCCTGAAATAAATGTATTATTTTATTAATTATTGTTCATCAAAATTATGAAACCAACTACATTCAGCATAGTTGCATCACAGTTTTGATTGGTGTATCAATATTATTGTGATATTATTAGCACACTTAATATAACTGTTAATAATGACCAAATTACCTGCAGAATAACTGTTGAGAAAATACTGAATGTACTCTTTGAATATCAGAGTAGCACATGATGACAAAGACCCTAAGTAGCTGTGTACGTAACGGGATGTGTGATGACCTAGAAGAGCATCAGGACTGTTTGAGGCAGATGATAGCTATGTGATTAACATGATGATTCAGCCTCTATGGAGAGAGACATATGACAAGCATGATCATTTCTGTCGTGAGCCTTAGCTAATCTGAACTAAACATTGTATACTGCTTTGAACCGGTATTCCTCCATCTTGTGACGGTGTAAAAAGTCTGTCTACAAGTCTCTTATATATAAAGCTTGTGAAGGACACTGCTCTGTGAACTATTTGTACCAAATGCTCTGTACGTGATGAATACTTCCATTCTTGCAAGGATAATAAATACATGTATCCTGATTATTGAAACTCAAGCCAGTGGCGAGTGATATTTTCCTAATCGATAGCAATGCTTAATGACTAGGGACAAATGTGATAACATAACATCCATATATAAATAACAAACTGTACCTTCTTCCCCCTCCTCAGAGAGTCGCCATATTCCCTTAGCAGGGCGCTCAAGGTGACTTTGTATGTATGTACAAAATCGTCCAGCCTGGTCAGACGTCTCCGTTGAAAACGGATCTTTTTGAGGTCCCACTGGCTTTTTTCCATTATCCCTTGAGTTTTGTTGTCCTCTGTGTAATTCTGCGGTTGAACATATTAGTTACGGTACATCAAATTATATTGTTAACAATCACTTGGATTACATACTGTTTACATTGCAGTTTATAATATTGATTATAGAATAATGCATTGAAATTCAATATTACATCAAAGCTTTAGGTTTTTGTACCTGTGTGGGTTTTTTTGCAGCATTTTTGTACTTCTGGGAAAGTTTCTGATAAATGGTCCCTGTTCCATGGCGTCCAAGGTCACCTAACCAAACAGTAAACATGCCTTATTATTTTATATTACATTACATTAACAAGCAGCTATAGAAAGACGTGCAAAATAAAACTTACTCAAGAGTAGGCCAGACCACAGACCAGCCAGGGGCAGAAAGTACTTAAGCAAGGAAGGGATGAAAGTCGGGCAGAAGTACATGTTGTCATCACCAGATTTCTCAATAACTGTTTGGGTTATTAAGTCCTCAAAATGCTGTTTGAAGGGCGTAGGTCCGATATCATTCTAGAAAAAACAATCCACAAATAACTTTAGTTGCATTCCATTGAGCTTGGGGTAATAGAAAAATATGTAAACCATGTTAATATTTTTCATTGTTTCTGGTCACAGAGCCTCTGTCCTCTTTTCTGTGCTGTGTTGGACTTGAAGGTAAACAAATAATTTGTAATGATATTTTTGAGCTATGAAACAACTTCCAACATTCACATAATTATTACATACCACACAGTCTTCCACAATGGTTGAATCGTCCAAGTTTGACTGCGCTGAATTTGTCAGTAGTCCTTGGAGATTTTCAAAATGTTTTCCAACATTTCTGTCACTGTGGGAGCTGGAGAATACCACCACAGCACTGGTGACAACTTCATCTAGCTCGGACATTGTGGTGGCATTTATTAGGCAAGGCAAGGCAAGTTTATTTATATAGCACTTTTCAACACAAGGCAATTCAAAGTGCTTTACAAAAAATGAAAGACATTAAGAAAATGGCATTTAAAATCAGTCATTAAAAAGAAAAGCTAATAAAATAAACATTAAAAGAAAAAATACATGGATAAAAGTTACAGTGCAGTCTAAGATGTGAATAGTTCAATTAAAAGCAGCGTAGTAGTTTTAGTAGTAGTCCAACTAGTACTGAATCCAACAGTACCAATTACATTAAGAACTTATTGCACAAAATCATTTTATCTCTCATCAAAGATGGCAGAAAACATGCATTATTGTACTCAGGGGTGGAGTTTGACAAAGGATTACTCCAAAAATACACAGTAAAAGTACTTGATTGTACTTTTGGTAGTAGTCCAAGTAGTACTGAATCCAACAGTACCAATTACATGAAGAACTTATTGCACAAAATTATTTTATCTCTCATCAAAGATGGCAAAAAACATGCATTATTGTACTCAGGGGTGGAGTTTGACAAAGGATTACTCCAAAAATACACAGTAAAAGTACTTGATTGTACTTTTGGTAGTAGTCCAAGTAGTACTGAATCCAACAGTACCAATTACATTAATAAATTATTGCACAAAATCATTTTATCTCTCATCAAAGATGGCAGAAAACATGCATTATTGTACTCAGGGGTGGAGTTTGACAGGGGATTACTCAAAAAGTACACAGTAAAAGTACTTGATTGTACTTGTGCTACTAGTCCAAGTAGTACTGAGTTCAACAGTATCAATTTCACTAAGAACTTATTGCAAAAAATCCTTTTATCTCTCATCAAAGAGGGCAGAAAACATGCATTATTGTACTCTGGAGGGGAGTTTGACAGGGGATTACTCAAAAGTACACAGTAAAAGTACTTGATTGTACTTATGGTAGTACTCTAACAAGTAGTGAGTCCAACAGTATCACTTTTATTAAGGATGTATCGCTAAAAATCATTTTATCTCATCAAATATAGCAGAAGTTGCATGATTTTGTTCTCAGGAGGGGAATTTGAGAGTATTACCCAGAAAAAAGACAGTAAAAGTACTTCATTTTATTGTACTGAGTCAAACAGTGTTAGTTTTTTTAAGAACTCATGGTAAAAATAATTTGTATCGCATGAAGCAGAAAAAACATGCATTCTTTTACTCTTGCGTTGGTGCCGCTTCTCAGTGATTACCGTAAAGGCGCTATAAACGCGCACTCAAAAATGAAGAACTGCTCATTTGACCAAGCAAATTTGAGAGACGGCTGAGTTGACCGCAGTACATTTCGCGGGGGAAAAGGATGAAAACGGGGCTTCGGGTGCCGTGGGAAGAACCTCCGTGTATTCACGTTCTTCACAGTAATCAGTTACATTGACACTGTATTGCATAGGCCTACAGACCAGCGCCATATAGATAGAATACAGACTCTATTGATTGGTTGTCTATCTTATGTTTTTGAAAGTAGGCTAATACATTAACTGAAGGGGCTGGGCCGGGAGAGAGCGAGGCCCGCGTCAGAGGTCCACCCAAAACCGTCATGAAAAAGTTTAGCATTCTAATGCATCTAACTTTATGCACAATATAATAGTCTGGCCAGCTCTGCAGCCCGTTCTAGGTTCTGATTGGCTCTCTAGGTTGGCATTCTAGCTTCTGACTGGCTGTCCAGGTTGTCAATCACAGCCGTGGGCATATTATACTTACGACTAGTATGCCCACGGCTGTGATTGACAACCTGGACAGCCAGTCAGAAGCTAAAATGCCAACCTAGAGAGCCAATCAGAACCTAGAACGGGCTGCAGAGCTGGCCAGACTATTATGGCGCATTTCCACTGCAGCGGGGTAGTCCCGTTTAAGCGTCCCTAAGCGTCCCTAAGCGTCCTCGCTCTGGCCTCGGGCTGCCTCGCTGGCCGGCCCACGCCGTGGCGCATTTCCATTACAGTTTAGGACCTGGGGTAGCAGCAGTGTGGGCGGGGCGATCGGCTTTGTTTTTGTTCACATTTCGAGTTGTTCCGTCGAGCTCCCGCTGGATTTGATCATCCCCAATGAGATGTAGGAACGTCGTCACCTCCTCGGTCGACCACGGTGTGCTTTTCTTATTAGACGTAGCCATTTTTGTAGCTCATCCGTTTGCAAAATGCTGTTTATAAAAATGCTGCAAGCATGCTTCTAAATATATATGCGACGCTAGGGATGAACTCGCGCGCGATCTTGTGACGATTCTCTCTGACCAATCAGCAGTCGAGAGTGTTGACGTCACTAGTTCAGCCCTGGCCCTGGTCTGAGGGAACCACGATTTTATTAGGCCGGAAAAAGAGGGAAAAAGTACCCGCTAGCCGGTACTAGGCTATATGGAAACGCCACCAAAAACCGGCCTGGCCGCTTGAGGACGGTTAAGGACGCTTAAACGGGGCTACCCGCTGCAGTGGAAACTTTATATTGTGTATAAAGTTAGATGCATTAGGATAGTCATATGCTCATGATATTCCAAGTTAAATTATATAATATTAATATTATCATTTAAAATAATAATATTAATATTAAATAATGACAGAGATTTGTGGCCAATTCACTATTGCATTTATTTTATAGGCCTGAATTAGAGAAGCAGTTCCTTTCCGAATTTTGATATTGATATAATATTGGTAATTTAATTGATAGCTGATGTTCTTCTTATGCAGTTGACCATGAGGAAAGTGAGACAGCTGCAGTTATGGCTTGACTCTGGGGAATCTAGCCATAACAGCATGGATGTATAATTTATCTGTAGGCTACAAGGGTGGTCCGCACGCGTGGGCCAGTGCGTCTGAACGTCCCGGGCCGAATTTGTGTCCCAGTCTGCCCATGCTTTCGTATCTCTCTTCATACCTCCGCACTTCGCCTTGGCCATCACATTGTACACACACACAGACTCCAAAACCCACAACCCCTTGCGGCTGCTACTCTTGAAGTGACAGGCCAAGCCTGTAACACTTTCAATACAATTTCAAGCTAGTTTCAAAAATGTATTTGTAAAGTTGTGCTGTGTTTTGTACATTTCAGAATGAAATTGATGTGCAAACGGACCCCCCTCCATGAATACACCACAAGTCCATGCAGGCACGACCACGTTTCAGGTCAGCTGGACAGCAAGTTCGAATCCATGTTGGTTGTTCCAAAGGTCAGTATCATAATATTTAAATATTGATATGTAAGATACAAATACACATACATACATGCGTATATATATAATTATTATATAATATTTTCAGGAATTGAAGTCAAACCATCTGTGTGTACTGTTGGGACACAAACACATGATGATACAAGTACTGTGGATGCTGGGATTCAGTGCAACCTGCAGCTAAACCTCCCTGAAAGGGACATCATTGATGAGGAAAAAGAGCTTGAAGCCGACAATAGCCAACATGAAGAGGATGATCAAAATGATCATCTTTATAGCCCATCAGACGTGGAATCTGATTCATCAGCTGATGAGTATTGTCTTGTCATGTTTTTTAAAAATGTTGCTACATTATCATTATGCAGGGTCGGATCCAGCCATTTATTGCAGACTTGATCATTTTACTCTTTGTCCATTTCACAGGGACAGTGACAACCAGGACGACACTGATCCTCTTAGGAGTAAGCTTCTGCTTGTGTTCATGTCTTCCCTGATGTCACTATTCACCCATTGTCCGATGTGTAAAGAGAACTCGCCAGGTCGCCTTCGGAGAACAATGGGCACATTTGTGGAAATTGATCAAAACTGCAAACATTGTGGTTTTCAAAGGTAATATTTTTAAATGTTTACCATGCGAAATATGTATTAGAGAATGATATTTGTGGCCATTAATAATAGTATTTATTATCCTAATAAGAACAGTGTTGTCCTTCATTTCGTAAGCTCTTTAAGGAGTCGTGGTGGAGTCACGCATTCTGGTGAGATCAGGTTGGGCTTTTACTGTCAAAGGTTTTTGCGACTGGAAACACTCATTACAGACTGATAAAGGACTGCTAAGACATGCCGCATCAAAAGAACACATTTCATGTGAGAGTTTGTGGAGAGAGAGAGAGAGACAGATACGTGAGGAAACAAATAAGGACATTAGAACTTTGGTGCAGATCAGCTGCACGGAGCCGTTATTACGTGTCGGCTGTCGTTGATATTATAGCTTTTTTAGCTGTCAACCAACTCCCTCTCAGAGGTGACTCGATGCACTCCACAGCATGTCCGAGTGCAGTGCATAGGAACATAAACCATACCCAAGGCGGGCTGAACTGTTCATCGTCTCCGTCTCTAGTATTTCTCTCCGAGTGCAGCGATGAGGAAGCTGCCATCCGTAACCAGTGTGCCTTGCTC